AAAATAAAAATTAAAAAAAAAAAAAGCCCTCAGAACCACGCCCCTGACCATCATTTAAAATCCATTCACTACTGCAGGTCCTACAGTCCAATCACCTCTTCAAGTCTACATTTTTCAGTTACCATAATAGGATTTCCCACCCTCTTAACAGTCACAGTGGGGGTTAAGTTTCTAATACGTAAAAATTGGGGGACACAATTCAAGCTTCAGGGAGTTTAGGGGAGACATAATTCAATCCACTGCACATACCAAACCACATCTCAATTTTTAATGGGACATAACAGAACAATGTTAGAGAAGAATGAAGCAGTAATTTATATGTGAAAATTATGTATAGGAGTATAGCACCATCACTAAGATCATGCACTGTGTCACTTAATAGCTGGATAACCAAGGGCAAATTATATAACTTCTCTGGGTTTCATTTTTATTATATGAAATATAGAGATATTAATATTTAATACCTCATAGTTTTATGCTGATAATAAGTGAGCAAATACATATCAAGTACTTAAAGTGGCCAGCAAATAACTTTAGTCAATGTACCTATTGTTATTAACATAAATATCAGGTCTACTGGAACAGTGACACACACAAACAGATGGTAAGTAAGAAATACAAAGCCTGTGAATTCCCTGAGGTTAATCTATGATCAACTCATGGTTTAAGGAGCTGGACTGAACTGCTGACCACCACAGCTGGCGTCAGCCTCATGGGTCCCCAGGTAGCCAGCTTTTGCTCCCTCCTTGGCTCCGGGATGATCAGAATGATGGGCCAGAAGACATGCTATTCCTTCTTCTCACTGAGCCCCTCCAGGAAGCCATGTGCCCGCCACCCTGAGCTGGCCAAATCAGGACCAGTTGCGGCTGAAGCTGAGGAGAGGGGGGACGCAGCGTACCAACCTCCAAATGTCTGGATTGTGCTCAGTTCTGGGCTTCCACGGTTCAGTTTTGCTCTGACCTGCTCCACAAATGGGCATCTTCTGCCATGGGTCACTGTGTCTGGTGCACGGGAAAGGTCCTCTGCAGGGACCTCTTGCAGGCCAGCCCCACCAAGAAGGCCCGGGCCGGACAGGACAAGTCCTGCACACCACCCTCCTCGCTGCTGAGCCCTGAGCAGCTGGTCTGCACCCAGAGGACAAGGCCATAGCCCTCGCAACCTGCAATGTGCCTGTGGGCTTTGGGGAGAGTTGGAAGAAGTATCTCAGCTGAGACTTTGGGAAGCCATCCTCTGTAAAGCTAATGGGATTTGTTGCAGAAGAAAGAAAACACCACACTCTTTATCCACCCCCACACCAAGTCTTCACCTGGATCCAAATGTGTGACATAAGCATCCTGGGGCAGGATCCACATCACTGACCCAGTCAAGCGCATGGGCTCTGCTTTAGTGTTCAAAGACCTGTTCCACCTTCACCCAGTTTGGAAAACATTTATGAAGAGCTGTCTACCCACATCGATGGTTTTGTACATCCTGGTCATGGAGGTTTATCTGGGTGAGCCAAACAAGGTGTTCTACTCAAGGCTGTTCTCACTGTTCGGGCCCATCAAGCCAATTCTCATAAGGAGAGAGGTTGGAAGTTCACTGATGTGGTTGTGTCCCGGCTAAATCAGAACTTGAATTGCCTTGTCTTCTTGCTCTGGGGCTCTTATGCTCAGCAGAAGGGCAGTGCCATCTATAGGAAGTGGCACCGTGTACTGGAGACTATTCATACCTCCCCACTGTTAATGTATAGAGGGCTCTTTGGATGTAGACATTTTTTCTAAAACCAATGAACTGCTGTGGAAGTCTGGCAAGAAGCCCACTGACTGGAAGGAGCTTGATCCTGAACCGTTGAGAAGCTGCTATTGAAGTATTTGTCGGTTCTGAAGTTGAATGGAAAAGCTTCCTATTAATTCTTAAGTACTCTGCATGAGGGGAAAAAGCTTCTGGAAAGCAGCCATGAACCAGGCTGCCCATGAATGGCAGAAACAGCAAAGACAGTGTCTTTCTCTGCACTATGGCTTTGGCCTAAAATGCAGGTGAGGTCAAATACTCACCTGGCTCTCTTCAGCTCCTTTACCTTTATGAGAAAAGTGGGGAGGTGTGCACCTCTTAGTATAGTCAGTAGTTTGGTGCCTGCTGCTACTTGTTTTTACCAGGTATGTTAAACTTCAGCTTATAAGGTGTTGGGTGTTTTTGTTAGAAAGGCCCCCCAGTGCGTGGCCCACAGGCATACCAGGATCATGGGCTCCCTTGATCTTTCAAGGGTCTCTTCGGTTCCTCCTTGAAGGAAGCTTGGAGATGTTTTGCAAGTTTCTAGAAATCTGGCCCAGAGACTAGGGATCAATGTCCTGGTTGTAGTAGAGGTAAAGATTCCTAAGGAATAGTCCTTGGTGTGAGCCATAACAGATAGAGGCTGAGAGAAGTGAGTTGGGTCTTGTTTCTCCTGTTATTTTTTGGGCATTTCTTGGAATAAACAGTGGAAGTTGAACAAGGAAGAATAGAAAAGGGGAGTGACCTTTTTTTTTTTTTAATGGGGTGGAGGATGATTTTCTCTTAGGGTTATCCTGAGTTGAGATCTTTAAGGCAACATAAACTGCCAAATGCTATTTTTTATTGACTGAAATCACTTTGGGATATTTTTTCTACAACCCTGGAGAATTTTACTTTTTAAAAAAATACTTATGCATATATATATATATTTTTTTTCAATCTTTTTTTAAAAAGAGACAATCTTTGTTGGGTCTGTACCTCCATCTTTGATCTGGTTAGAGATGTTTTTGTTATGAGCCTGGTTAAAGAGTTTTTTTTCAATCTTTTTTTAAAAAGAGACAATCTTTGTTAGGTCTGTACCTCCATCTTTGATCTGGTTAGAGATGTTTTTGTTATGAGCCTGGTTAAAGAGTTAACTCTGTGTGAGTTTAGTAATAAAGACTTGAAGTTTCACTTAGAAAAAAAAAGCGAGATTAGGATGGTAGTTCAAAAAACTTGAGCTTCAAACATGAGCCAGATTGTTAGATTACTGAACCCCAATAAAGCAAATGTAACACTAAAACACCCCACATTTATGAGCTTATAGAAAACTGACAATAAAAATTTCTCTTATAGAAAGCAGTAATAATAATAATACCATATAGTATGCCTGATACATTTGAGGGAGGGTACTTCAAAAAGTTCATGAAAAGATTGTATTATCTTTCAATTCAGTTTTTCCATGAACTTTTCGAAGTATCCTCGTATATACCTAGAACTGAAAAACTCAAAATAAGTGCTCAATAAATTGTAGCTATCGTTAATTTCATATCCAGGTGAGTTTCTGTCTGTTTCAGATGCCTGATTCCCTCTAATGCAGCGCCAACCTTCTGCTTCAGTTAGTGCACATTGCCTGGCAGTAAGTCCAACCTGCCTAAACCTTTCAGGCCAAGGGTCTTGTGACTTCTCCAGTTTAAAATAGAGAGCCCCAGCCTAGAGAGCTTCAGCCCCTTTCCCCTCGTCTTCTGCAAGCCTCCATTCTTAACCCTAACCTTTCATTTCAGAATTTCAGCTTTGATGCTTCCCACTTCCTTCCTCTGGTTACTTTAACCGAAGTGAGTCAGGTCTTACTGAAAAACTGACCACAGGCAGCCAGCTCCCACACTCTCCCGACCAGGGCTGCCTGGGCCGAGCGTGAGGGGGATCGGTGTTCACTCTGACCAGTCTTTCCCCCTCTCTTCTCCAAGTCACGGGGCTTTGAGTAGGGCTTCCCCAGCCACCATACAACAGACCGCAGTCAGAAGCCAATCGCACATTTGTTTGGTGGCTCAGGGAGGGTACTCCTAGGAAGAGTGACAGCTCGAGTCCTTGAGTATCCTACCCATAGAGCTAATTTGCTTATATTCTGCTCTGTTGGGTCAGCCCTGTTGCCTAGGATCTCAGTTCAAGGAGTATTTGGTGGGAGTTTTTAGTTGTAAACACCAATAACAACGAACTGTATGCACTGGGACTGTCTCCTAGTGCTGGGAGCTATGTTAGCACTTTATCTAAAATTCTCACTGTAACCCAAGCAAATTAGTATTCACCCCTGGACCTCTGAGCTTGAAGAAGCAAAAAAACACACTGAAAACTTCCCTGCTTATCTTTCTAATTTTAGCCTTGAAAATCAGCATGATTTTTAAGGATTTAAGGACAAATCTTTTAAGGTCTGAATTATGGGGAAGACCATAGTGATTTTTGCTGCTAGCTTTTAAAGTGAGAATAGCTTTTTCTCCTCCTCGGCTCTGGAAACTCCCCTCTCTCCTGGGTGAGGGTAGCTGGCTTCCTTTCTGTGGCATGTAGAATTCATTCACTCATTCTCTTCTGTCCTGGAAGTTTTGAGGGAACAATTTGAGTCAGACAAGAGTCAACTGACACCATAACATGATTTGAATAAGATCCATTTATTTATTCAAAATTAAAATCTGTTATGAAGACAGACAAATAACGTAACATTCCCAGAGGAATTGAATCACTTCTAGTTAAAACTGAGTTCTATTAGAACCAACTTTAGGTTGTTATAAATAACAAGCTGGCCACAGCTTTCGAGAATGAAGTGGTTGGGGAATGAGGTCAGGGGAATCTCTCCGAGCCACTAAGAAGTTAATCATCAAAAGCGCTCCCTGGTTTCTCTTCCTAAGATGATAAGAGTCTTTGTAACACTCTTGGAGCCCTGGGCCCAGGGACAAGGGAAATTAGTGGGAGGTCAGGGAAACAGCTCAACAGCTGGAAAGTGTGGTCAGGCTTGGAATGGAAGCTTCAGTTGGCTCCCCAAGGAACTTTCTTTTTCCTTATATAACTTATAATTTCTCTTAAAACACTCAAATGTCATAGGGTGTCACCCTATGGAAACAGCTTAAACAAAGGTGAAAATAATAAATATTGAAAAAATTATAATATTGGGCTTCTTTCTAAACAGTTCACAGAGAAGCTCAGTAAATAAATAGAAATGGGAGTTGAGGTATCAGAGGTAATAAATATTCTAGGAGCGAGGTACAGCAGGGTCCCTCGCTGGGTCAGCTATCCCAGAACCCTGGGTCAGATTTTGGAGATCCCCAATTGATGTCCTAGAGTCTACAGAGTTGCCATCCTGGATGTTCAGTTTTTCATCTTCATTGTCATGTAGTCTTCTATGTAGTTGATAAAGATGTCAAACTCACTCATGGCTTTGTAGACACCTTTCTCTTGGAGCTGTGCAGAGAGACAAGGAACGTTCAGTTAAAACCCCGTCTGAGGACTAAGCCCCCACACGTTGGACGGGATGGGCATGACCCTGGGTGCAGAAGCTGCACTCACTCCCTTGTGTCAGGAGGAGAAGGGACAGATCCTGGGAGCTAAGGATATGCCCGTCTGCCTCGGGAAAGGCTGTGCATTGACCTTCATATCTCTCCAGCCTGAAGCACAACTATCGGCTGGCAAGAGACCTCACTTTGCAAAGCACAGTCTTCACAATGGTGCCTCATCAGCAGTTTTAAAGGTCATGTGTTCACATGATGCTTATGTAGAATTTGATGAAAAGACATTTAAGGAAGCAGTTTGAAAGCATGTCAGTAAGTGGAGGAGAGAAGGGAGCCTTTTCAATGTCTGTGATCTCCCACCAATGGACTGAGCAGGCCCTGCCCTGAGCTTTGGCATACTGTCAGGGGATTCACACCTCTGATGCTGGAACCTTGCCCAGTGTCTGTCCTCAGCCCATGAAGAGGACATAGGCCACATAGCTTCTGGGAAATGGGATTTAAGAAGCTCATGGACAGTTGGAAGTGTGAAACCCCATTTGATTTGGGTGGTGACATTCTCGGGCACCTTGGGAAGGAGGAAAGGCAGATGGCAGGTGAGCTTGAGCCAACCCCCATTAGTGAGAATTCCACTTCCTGCTCATTCTGAGTTTTGGCGAGTCCAGGCTGAACCCCCAGGTGTGTTTGTATGTGCACATTCACGTGTCAGCTTCCTGCACGTGTGGGTTCAGCCTTAATTCCTAACAAGCTACTTTCTGTACTTTCTGTTTCCTTTGTCACTCTCCCCAGCACTCAGCTCACTGTGTTCACAGGCTGGCTGGCCAAGCCAACCCGCAGGCCTGCAAAGGCGAGGAGCAGTCATTTAGAAAGCCCCAAAAACACTTAACAGAAACAAATATAACTGGGGCGGCAGCTCCTCACTGGCTGAGGCGGTCACACCATTTGTCAGGTTCCCACACTCTCTGTGAGTGCAGGACGGGGCCCGCTGAGCACCTGCTACTCTCTACCCTCTGGGGAGGGGACAGAGGCTGTGCTCTGCAAACCTGCTCTGCCTCCATCCAAACTCACCTTACTAAAGGTGCTCTTCACCTGCTCCACTGACTTGCTCTTATTTTCACAGGGAAGAAATCGATGCTGTGGAATAAAGAGAAAATGTTAATGACTCTGGCTCCCAGCTCCCGTGCCCATAGCGCTTGGGGGACAAGATGGTAGCATGATGAAGGGTCCAGATTCATCCTGAATATCTACCCTTATAGCTTCTGGGGAGAACTGAGCTGTTCCTCATCTTTACCATTACCCAAGGGACAGAGAAGAAACACAGCCCAGGGAGATGAAACATATTTCTCTAGGAGCCACTCTGAGATGTTTGCAAGGCTTGGTTAAAAACCCAAGTCTTGGGCTTCCTCCCGCAGAACTCCACAGTGTTTACTGGAGTGCTGAGCTAGGCATTTTTAAGACTGTCCTTTTCCAGCCCGTCTTTCCTGAGCCTCTCCTTCAGTCTTAGCCACCGAGGACTATTTCTAAGTGCCTGAAGAATGGAAACATAGTTGCAGCTGCGGGACCAAACCCTTTGCATAGACAGCCCTGTCCTGCAACCAGAGAACAACTGATTTGCCAACACCAGTGAGAGAGAAAAGGAAACCGTTAGTGGTGAGGGTATCATTTCAGTTGGGGAAATAAATGATCTGGGGGAATTATTCATAGATACTAGCCTGGGGACGTGTAGCACCCTGGCCCTTCTAAAATACCAGGGAAATCCTGTTAGTCAGTTAGGCCCCACTGACAGCTTTGCTTTCAAAAGCCTGAGAATAAGAGGTGAGCGATGTTTCCTCTACTTGGGAGCCTCAGCTCTGGGCTCAGGGACTAGGTCCAAAGGAACAAGGGAGCCCTGACTGAAGCTCTGGGTCCTTTTCATGAAGACAGAGGGGAGTAGTTAATAACCCACAAATGAGTCACAAATAACAGGAAAGCTGTTTGCAAATCTTCACATGTAAATGCCTAGCAGCTGCCCCCACCCCTGCTCAGAGAGAAATGAGCAAGAGCTCTGACTCCAGGCGCTTTCTGAACTTCACAGCTTGCCCTGCCAGTCTAGGTCTTTGGGGTGGCTCTGGATGCAAGTGGCCTTGCTGCTCTGTGGGAGACCCTGGTATTTTGGGGACAGAGGCAAAGGAAAGAACTGGTCTGCTACTCACACAGCGCCGCAGCCTCAGCCTGAGGGTCTTCAGTTTTTCTCCCAGGGAGTTCACATGTTCCTTGATGTCTGGGTCGTGGTTCTCAGCCTGGGGCATCACCTCCTCCAGGTAAAACTGGATCATCTCTGACAAGGCTTGGCAACCCAGGTAACCCTAAGGGCGGGAGCCAAAGGTAGGGGGTGACTGGGGGGAAGGGCTGCTGTAACTAGCTTGAGAGGCTAGCTTTGCCTCTTGGAACCTTCCTGAACCAACTGCCTCCCCCCAGAACTGAGCGCTTTGTAACTCTCCGCTGCTGGGTATGTGCTGAGTTAAGATCTTCCCACTTCTCCTTTTCAAAGCGAAGGAAGCAGACCCAGCTCCCTGCAGTCATGAAAAAGAGCCTCCCTTCCCTTAACCATGCTGTGCAGTGCCCCCCAACCCCCACCCACCCGCAGGGCTCGCACCTTAAAGTCCTGCAGCAAGGACTCCTTTAACAACATGCTGTCCAGCTGATCCTTCATTTGCTGCAAGAGAAACAAAAGGAGAATGAACCTGGGGTTTGGGAAAATACCTGAAGTGCATGTCCTTCTGATGGCCTTTTATTTATAGAGTTTTTGATTTTTATTAATGTAGCTCTGGCCCCCAAATTGAGAGTTTTATAATCAGAGGATTCAATGGTGCTGGAACCATTAGTTCAATCAGGTCCTCCCTCTTGGGATCAAGTTATTGCTAAAATCTGGCTGATTTTGAAGCAAAAGCAGAAGGTTGACTTTGTCCCGGTCTTCTTTCTGCAGGGCCACATAAGGCTGTAAGGGGCCAGCCACGTCGATCCTTCAGTGCCTCGAGCCTCCTCTCATGTCCTGCCCTTTGCTTTTCCTTCTCCCTACTGTGGACATCCAGCTCCAGGGCTAAAAGATCTCTGAGAATGGGAAGCATCTCCTAATGCAGGTTTCCCCCATGTATGGTGCTTCCCAAACCATCCATCTTTTAGGTCTGGAAAGTCTTCTAAGAAGAGGCAATTTATGTTTCTCTGCCACAAGGTACGGGGAACATATTTAGACCAATATGACCAATGAGACCCTTCCTGGTTTCTCCCAGCCAATAAAGTATCAAGCTCCAGTGAAATCTTATAAAGTTTCTGAGCACAGGAGAAAGACTGCATTTACCTTTTATGCAGATTTGCCTGCACATTTGCCACACCGTCTGGGCTTAGCTTACCTCACTGAACCCATGGCTTGATGTAGGACTCCTAAGAACTTAAGTATGGGGAGAATGGGTGCTGGGGATGGAGGTGAAGGTGGAGGAGAGAAGCTCTTCTTATAGCTCCAGCAGAATGCCTAGTTCAGGCAGTGCCAGCAAGGAAGGAGGGACAGAAGGGCACCATACTCACAAAGAAAGTCTTCACCCTGCTGAAAGCAGCTCGGAGCTCTCGGAGCCCATGGCTTGATGTAGGACTCCTAAGAACTTAAGTATGGGGAGAATGGGTGCTGGGGATGGAGGTGAAGGTGGAGGAGGGAAGCTCTTCTTATAGCTCCAGCAGAATGCCTAGTTCAGGCAGTGCCAGCAAGGAAGGAGGGACAAAAGGGCACCATACTCACAAAGAAAGTCTTCACCCTGCTGAAAGCAGCTCGGAGCTCTCGGAGCATGTGGGGCAGGCTGGCTGGCAAGTGGGTGCAGCTGTTCTCAGACTGGGTGCCCTGGCCTCGGCTGGCCCCTATCCCAGCCAGGAGGACCAGGAAACATAGCAGTACTGAGCTGGGCATGACGGAACTCTGCCTTCTTCTGCGAGTCTTGTGGTTTTGGTTTTGCAAGACCCCGATGTGTAGACCTTCACCTCTTGTGTCCCCTTTTATATTGTGGGTTCAATGAGGCCTCCCATTCATAAAAGCCACAGAGTCACAGATTTCCTGGCAAAGGTTTTTTTCTGATTAAAGCTCCTCCTTCCTTAGACCTCTCCAACTTTGCATTCGTTAAACTTAAAGTTTTCAATTTTTTTTTGCATCATAAGCAAAAGGACTGGTTGAAGATGAACTTCTGCATTATAGCTATTTTTAGGATGGGCTATCTCTCTCTTTCTCCTTTTTTAAACAATTTTTCAGCGTCTCAAAAACGTTGATTTCCTGGGGAGAAGAGCTGTACGCAGAGGCTCACAGCTGTAAGTTCCATTCGCGTGTTCCTAGGTCACAGTGACGTGGATAAATTGGCCCTTCCAGGATGCACTGGGATTGAGAAATAATTGGGACTCTCTTCAACCTGGGTCAAACACCTAAGAATTCTCCTTGCTGATTTGGGAAGTCGGGTTAGCTGTCTGGGCCTCAGTTTCCCCAAGTGGAAATGAGAGGATGGGCTTAATATCCTCAAAGCTCCCTTCTGGTTCTTCCATTTTATGTTCAAAGGCTGCCCCTTAAAGATTGGCTTCTTACAGGACAGGCAGGGTCACGGGACTGAGCTCCAGCCTCCCTCTCCAGCGCTGGGTGTGTGTAGATTGTCAGGCCCATGTTTCCACCTCCTCAACTGTCCCAGTACTTGGGGGCAGTTAGTAAGAGAAGTCCACAATTCCTGGAAACTTGTTGCACACCAGTCAGGTCGTCCTCACCATGATCCTTATTATCTCCATTGTGTAGTGAGCAAACCAAGGCACGGAGTGGTTAAGTAACCTGCCTAAGGTGACATGGGGAAGAAATAAGGGAACTAGAATTTGGTCTTCTCACCCCACCCTACTCAGTCTTCAGTGTGTAGAATGAAAGGTTGGATTAAATAGTCCTTAGGGTTTCTTTTAGTTGTAAACTTCTATGGCTGGAGTCTAAAGTTCGAAAAATGGGGAGGACGAAGTAGAAATAACAAGGAAAATAAGTCAGATCTCATGAAGGCTGGATGACAGATCCCTTCCTTTCCTCTTATTTATCCCCTCCCCGCATTCCCAAAGAAGCCTTGGCAGTCTTGTCTTGGGTTTGCACGTGTGTGTGTGGTGGGCAGGGGCAGGGTAGCCGGGTGGGGTTGGGGTGAATAGTGTTGTTCTATTTTTACTGGGGGAAGACGGGGCCAATGCCATCAGGACTTCTTTAAATATCCAGAAAGTCTCTGGGTGTCCTTTAATTGTGCCTCGACCTCCTGCTTCCATAGGAGCTTCTCCCACCACCTTAGTTTAGACAATAACTGGGAAGAGCACCAGTCCGGGGCAGGTCACTCTGTCACTCTATACCCAAGGCAAGTCACGAGTCCTTCCTGTGCCTGTTTTCTCTCTGTCCCAAGGGGGCAATAGTACCTTCCCTTCTGCCTGCCAGGGGGCTTTGGGATTAAGAAACAAGCAGGTTTAGATGGAAGGCATCCCCAGTGTTTGTGTTATTTCCTCCCCTTCCTGTATCAGCACTGGGACATCTCCAATAACATCGGGTTCTGAACCTGCCCCACTGGAGAAGGTTGTGGCACCAGAGCAAGTGCGGCAGACACCTGGGGCCCAGCCAGTCAGGAGTGAGAAGCGGGGGAGGTGTGAGAGGGTCCAGGCCCACCCTGTGGGTGTACCTGCTGTGCTGACTTGTGGGTCAGGATCAGGGGACCGTGGCCTCTCCTCCCAACCCTTCAGGAAGTGTCAGTGCAAAAACCTAAGACTCGTTAAGGGACAAAGAGCCTTCTAGAAAATGGAATGAAGCTAATTCAGGGATTGCTGCTCCTGCCAGATTTATACTGGGCTCAGGAGTACTGAGTCCTGCCACCAGGAAGCAGAGAGAAAGGGACCAGTAGTTGGGTTTCCCATCCCTTCCACCTTTTTTCTTCCTTCTTGGCTCCTGGGTTTTCTGGGCTCTGTCTGCTTTAGCTCTCTGAGCTGGGTGTTCCAGGTGCAGAATCAGCATGGCAGACCAGTCAGGCCAGGGGTCCGAACCCCAGTTGAGGCTGTGAGGTCCTCTCTGACCCAGGCAGCATGACCCCCTCCTACCTTTGTTTGCCACTGTGGCCTATGCTTACTTCACTATGAGATCTACAAGCCTGCATTGCTGTATCCATGTACACACCTTGTCTCACCTGTAGGTTGTGAGCTCCTCGAAGCAGGTTGTTGTTTTGTTTATCTTTGTGTACCTGGTACTTATCACTGAGTCTGGCCCATGGGCAAAGCAGAATGCCCTGTGAGCCTGGGCCAGAGCTGGAGGGTGCAACACTAGGGAGGCTGGTGTTGGCACCAGCAAGCACCCAGAGGGTAGGGAGAGCAACTCAGGGAGACAGGCAGCATCTCCTACATTTTTTTCTCATGACTTGAGATACATGTGTAAACACACACACACACACACACACACAGTGGCAGGGAGAAGGGAGTGTGTAAAACCATTTATATCTTTCTTTAATCCGTAAAGTAGGGTTGAGGTTAGGATCTGACTTCTTTATTTGTTTTGAAATGTGTAGCCAATGATTTCAGGCCATTTGCTGGAGAGCTGATCCTTCCCTCATTGGTTTGAAATCACTGTCCACTCTCATCTTAACATATCCAAGTCTAAATGGTCAGAGATAACCATTGCAAGTTCCTCGATGCAAGTTTCTATTTAACAAATACAGATAATATCTTCCCTATTAATATACCTCATAGTATTTATGTCAAGTTAGGTATAAACATTTAAGGAAAATTAAGACCTTGTGCCCTTATATGGATAAAGCAACAGGAACCACAAAGATGACTTCTATTTCTCCAGTTTGTGGAGATATCTGTTTTCCTGAAACATCATTAGGATCCATTACAAAAAGTCCCAAACCCATAGGTCACATCTGAGACATAAATACCAAAAATTGCATATTAGGAGATTTGAGTTTGGGTTTCAGTACAAGAGAAGAACAGTGTCAGTCTGGGACTATTTGGTCCTGGGAATTCCAAGAGGGCACACATGCCACTCATGAGACTATGAGCCCCGGGAGGACAAATGGCAGATGCACAGCAAGTGTCTAGTAGATGCTTATTAAATTGAATTTAAATGAATTCTTCTCAGTGGAAGCATACTGGAATAACAGAGGAAGATTGTCCAGCTACAAATGAAAAGAAGCCTAACTAAGCATGACTTAAAAAAGAAAGGGATTTTATTTACTGTCACATCCAACAAGTAGTCCAGAGGCTCCCTTATCAGATGATTAGATGTATGATTTGAAAAAATGTTCTCCTATTCTGTAAGTAGTATTTTCACTTTCTTTATGGTATCCTATGAAATACAAAAGATTGTCATGATGATAATAACCAATTTATCTTTTTTTTTTTTTATTATTGTCACTTGTACTTCAGGTATTATATCTAAGAAACCGTTGCCTAATCCAAGATCATGCAGATTTTTAGCTACATTTTCTTCTAAGAGTTTTGTAGTGTTAGCTCTTACATTTAGGTCATTGATCCATTTCGAATTGATTTTTCTATTGTTTCCCGCTAGTATGAATAAAGCTGCTGTAAATAACCACAACAAAAAAGAAGTCCAGAGGCAGGCAGTCTGGGGCTGGTATAGCTCTCGTATGTCACCCAAGACCTGTTTTTCCTGTTCTCCTATCCTTCATTGCAAGATGTTAGAGAGAAGGGAGGTGGTAAAGTCCAACGATCTAAGGGCACATCAGCCCAGGAGATCCTAATAATCTTTTTGGGAAACTCCACCCAGTAACGTTATCACTTTAGCTGCAGAGGAGTCTGGGGAGACAAGAACTACTGGGATTGTGTGTGTGTGTGTGTGTGTGTGTGTGTGAAGAGATCTTGGAGGGTCCTATCTGCAGCGCATAAGATCTTCTAAGGAGCCCACCTCTCAGCTACACTCATGCTCAGCAAAGTGGCAGCCTTCTTGGTATAGTTGCCCTGTGCCTTGCTGCAATTCTGCAACTCGAACCCAATGGTAGGAAATAGGCTGGGAGCCCTGTAGAGCAGCACCAAAGCAAAGAGAAGGCTAAGGAATCTGGACTTGCTGAAATCAGGTTCAATCAGCTTGCCCAGCATTAGGGCCAGCTGGCAGGGAGTACTTTCTTTATGGTATCCTATGAAATACAAAAGATTGTCATGATGATAATAACCAATTTATCTTTTTTTTTTTATTATTGTCACTTGTACTTCAGGTATTATATCTAAGAAACTGTTGCCTAATCCAAGATCATGCAGATTTTTAGCTACATTTTCTTCTAAGAGTTTTGTAGTGTTAGCTCTTACATTTAGGTCATTGATCCATTTCGAATTGATTTTTCTATTGTTTCCCGCTAGTATGAATAAAGCTGCTGTAAATAACCACAACAAAAAAGAAGTCCAGAGGCAGGCAGTCTGGGGCTGGTATAGCTCTCGTATGTCACCCAAGACCTGTTTTTCCTGTTCTCCTATCCTTCATTGCAAGATGTTAGAGAGAAGGGAGGTGGTAAAGTCCAACGATCTAAGGGCACATCAGCCCAGGAGATCCTAATAATCTTTTTGGGAAACTCCACCCAGTAACGTTATCACTTTAGCTGCAGAGGAGTCTGGGGAGACAAGAACTACTGGGATTGTGTGTGTGTGTGTGTGTGTGTGTGTGTGAAGAGATCTTGGAGGGTCCTATCTGCAGCGCATAAGATCTTCTAAGGAGCCCACCTCTCAGCTACACTCATGCTCAGCAAAGTGGCAGCCTTCTTGGTATAGTTGCCCTGTGCCTTGCTGCAATTCTGCAACTCGAACCCAATGGTAGGAAATAGGCTGGGAGCCCTGTAGAGCAGCACCAAAGCAAAGAGAAGGCTAAGGAATCTGGACTTGCTGAAATCAGGTTCAATCAGCTTGCCCAGCATTAGGGCCAGCTGGCAGGGAGCAGGGGTGTCAGTGCTGCAGGTGAGGAAGGTGAGATCGTGCC